TAAAAGCCAGTCTTTGAATAAAATGCAGCATAGAACAAAAGTTTATTTTTGGAGAGTTTGGGATGGGAGTGGTGTTTCAGGTCCTAGCTGTCAGGTGTCCCCCCCCACTCTGGGCAGTGACCAATCTAGAGAAGACTTTCAAGCAGATGGCACCTGCCAGGTGTCTGTTATTAACAGCTCTAGAAGATGCTTAGGAGCTGTGGGTGATATTAGGGCAGTAGCCACCCATCTTTGGTATTTGTTGGGGATTATTTGTTTGTTTTTTTAATGTTAGGAGGTTTTGTTTGTTTGTTTTCAGAAAGGTTATTACATCAAGCTTTCCCTAAGATGAGGATCTACAGAACTGTGTTTTAGGACAATTTTTGTGTGATAGTGAAATACAGAAGAGTTTTGAAGAGCAAAAAGCTTAACTTAGTTCTTCTTTCTTTATTAGCTCTTCACCTCAAGGCTGCCTCCAATGACTTCTCCCAGTCTCTACTCATATCTAGAATTGGCACAATCCAGGGGCAGCACCTTGCAGTCACTGAACTTCATGAGGTTAATGTGGCAAAAGTTATCTAAAGCCACTAATAATTTACAAAGAAAATTTGTCCTCACCATTTTAGAAACTCAGTGATGTTTAATTTGAAGAATCCTTGTCTATTCTGCCATGAAAAGTACTCTTCTCAATACATCCTGGAAGCAGAGAAAAGAGGAAAAGATAAACATGTGAGATAGTGAACACCATACTGTTGTCCTGTCTACCCAGCAGCTTCAGGGACAGCAAATGATAAAGGTGTTGTGTCTGCCTTCCCAAGAGATCATCAGTCATCCCAGCCTCCCCTTACCTGTCACTAATAGGCAAGGAAAGCTGATCAGACCCCATCTCTGGTGTCCTTTTCCCTCGTGTGCCTCCATGTAATCCCCTCCGTCTGCTTGTTTGTTTGTTTAGATCTGGCGAATGGACAACGTGTGAAGTTGATTCAGTGGTGATTGCTGACTTTAGCTTTAGACTCTGTCTTACCTAGGCAGCTTCACAGATACGACACAAGTTACAGAAGCTCCTTCTGTTTTTCTTACTAATTATTCTGTTGTCTTGCAGTTGTTATTTATGTGTTTACTCTGTGATCGTCCTTTAATGTGCTCAGTCAGAGGTTTATTGGTTGCTTTGAGACAAGCTAAGATTTTGAGGAAGTGTTTGGGAGTTTGGAGGGGTGTTGCTTAGTTGCTTGATTGAACAACAGTGAACTGTCATAATCTAGATTTTCATCAGAATGGCATCTGATAACATGTCACGTAGTGATTAGCTGGAAGTAGCTGTTGAAGATCTGTTCATTCCCCATTTATTCCCTGATGTGCTTTGTCACTGGAATATTTTTTTACATACATTTGCACAATGGTACTGTAGTTCACTCTCCATGTTTACAGGTGTTACTGCTAGGATTCAGTTTCCCAATCATTTCTATTGTGTATATCTATGGTGCCGAGTTTGTATTTTTATATTAGGGGAAAGCCAGACTAGTTCCCAAAGTCTTACCCTATCACCTTCCAAAAAAATTGCTTTATTTTGGAAAATCACAGATTTTTATTTAATCAAAGTCTCTCTCAAAGGTTTTACTCTCTTCTCAGAAATTGAAATACTATTTTCTTCTGACCTTAAGAGATTTCTTTACTCCTCTTTATATTATTACTAGCTTTGTGCTTTAGAGTGAGGGTATTGCATTTGTGATATCTCTTTTGGAAAAAAATCAAGTGGGATATCATATGGCTCTGCACCTCTAAAGGCAATAGTGATTCTTGCTTACTTGATAAATTTCTGTCAAAGCTTGAAGATGACATCTCTTTTCAACAAGGGGACGTCTTCTTCATTCCTTGTACCTTTCTAGAGAGGTGTTGGGGTTTTTTACATACAGTACTAGTTTCAGTTGTTGTTTCAATGTCTTGGGCAGTGGAAGTGATAATTAAAAGGAGAGGTTTGAGATCAGGTTAGTAACTAGGCAGAGAAATTGGCATGAAGTGACAAAGAGTTAACTGTGTTCTTTGTGTGAGCGTAGTACACCGTGAACAGCTGATCTGACATGATATTCTGTGCTGGTGCCTCCAAAGTAGTTTTTTCCAAATACATTTTTGTCTGGTTTTGATCCATAGGCAAACAAAAATATGCATTGAATTTTTCTGTAATGATAAACTAAATACTGCCAAGAAATATTTATTCCTCAGTATGCAATTATCTGTACGGGCAAATTATACAAATGATTTTTAAGGAAGGATTTTGGCACATGCCAACTAGCCTTTCCCAACCACTTTTACCACTGATGAGAAATTACCATGATCCAGGAACTGTGCCCAACAGGCAGGTTGAGCTTTGTCTGGTTTGAAGCCTGAGAGTGCAGAGGCCATCTGATCTCAGTCAAAGAGCTTTTCTGGGTGTGTTTAAACATTGTGTGTAGACTGTAGCTGTTAAGAGCTAGAGGAATTTCTGCCTTTGTGCTAAATCCCATGGTCAGGAACATTCAAGGTTTACCCCTGTCTGAAGAAAGCTGCTTGTTGATCATTGGTACCCTATCAGCTTTGGTTTGATGTGTGTGGACATAAACTGTGAGATAACACCACAGCCCTTCCAGAGCAGCTGTAGCTACAGGATGTTAGTACGGTGTCCATAGCTGCCTAGCCACAGCTATTGTGAACATCCAGTGTCTTGAAGTGAAGCTGGCATGATGCTGTTGTGAGACAGTATTTTTCTGCTTCCTTTATGGAGATTCAAAATCCATCAGTTACTTTACAACATGTTTTTATAGCTGATTTTGCAGCGTAGTAATTATCACCATTTTTAATCTCTTGACCCTTCACATCTTGGATTGCTTCTTGATGTGACGTTGCAAAGGAGTTGAACATAATGTTTGTAAAATGCTTTGAAGATGAAAAGCTTCACAGTAGGTTTTTTATTATTACCAGAGGCAAAGTGTGCAGGAGTGGCTTAATATTGGACTGTTTATTTCCCAAGAGATGGCTTTGTTTTGAAAAGTGCACATTATTGATTTTTAGACAAAATTACCTTATTTCAACCCTAAATATAAATAAATTGACCAACTTTATGGTTAGATAATTTGCGTAAGATATCTGTAGAAGAGCAGAGCATTTATGATACTACCTCTGGCTCTATTCTTAGCTTATGTTTAATGAAGCTTTTTTTTAATGTATTTGGCTTCTACTATCCAATGTAGGATGTTGAATCCATATATATCTAGGTGTAGTATTTTTACAACTATATGGTATACAGATACATTTGAGAAATATATATGTATTGAGATATATATTGCTCTTCAAAGCTAAAATAAGTTCAGTATGTGAACAAAGAAAAGTGGTTTGCATTCAGAAGTGGTGATGTTTTATTGGAGTTTGGTTTGCAGGCAGTTTTTCACATGTTCAACCTACCACATATTAAAGACCTGTATTTTTATTTATTTTTTAATAGTGCTTTAACTATTTCTTGAATAATTTTTATTTCCAGCCTCTGTCTACATCATAAACTGATAGGTGATTGTACAGAGATGAATAAAAAGTGAGCTGTTCAACAGTTCTTGAGCTGCTGTAGTCTCCATGTGAGGTAGAGGAGGAGGGAGGGAGGGAGCTGCAGTGTTCAGATGGAAATTTAGCTTGCTAAAACAGGGGCTGCTCCAGGGACAGCCATGTCCTGCCATGATGCCCTGTGTCCCTTGCCCTTGCAGCAGCCTTGTTTAGACAGAGCAATTTTGTGGTGTCAGCACAGAGCACCTCTGGGTTTTCTGAGCAGCTCTTGTCAGGGACGGCTCGCTGGGCTGCGGCCAGGCACCGCATCCCTGTGCCCTTGAGTGGGATGCCTCGCTCCCTGCAGCTGCAAAAGCTTTGGGCTCCTGCCTGGCATTTGCAGAAATCATTGTGGAATTTGCTGATTCTGCCAGACACAACCTAAACACTTGTTCCCAAGTGCTGCGTCCCATCAGGACAGCTGTTGGTTATGAAAAACATGCAGTGGCTTTCGTCTGTAATAATACAGCTTTGTTGGAGTATTGCAAGCTTACAATAATCTGAGCAATACTATGAAGCAGTACCCCCTTGCTCAGCCTACAGGGAGCTTTATTCCCCCGTGCTTCAGTTAAAATATTCATTTATTGTTGTCACTGATGTCAGAGATGAGGAGGGAGGGTAAATTTTCCTTCCATACTGTCAGTAAGGATTAACTGCAAATGCTGGGCAGTGCTTTCAAAATATTCTGACCTATTTACACAACAAAACTGATCAGAACAAAATAAATAGTTCTGGTCAGTGGCTGAATGCTGTATTGTGGCAGCTATATTTGGCAGTGAATTTTCTCATAATTTTTCCAATGTAGACAAAACCCAGAATGCTATAGAAATTTTAAGCATTACAAGCAGATAGTGCCCATACTGAATCGTTTCTCCTGTTGCCTTTTGGGGAAATGGGACAATTTGGCTGTAAGTCAGTTGGAACAAATTCTTATGAAGCAACTGACAAAAAAAGCATATGAGTAGATTTATCATTCTGCCATATGGGGTAATAAACAATTGCATCATTTCCAGCAAGCTGCAATATATACCTGTGAGATGGTGGATCTCTCTCCGGGGTATAACCTCTGCAGAGAAGCATTAAATAGGGAATTGTGACAGACTCTAAAAATTGTTGATTTCCTGCTTGGATTTTATTTTTTTCATTTTGTAACAGCTGTAGTGGATACTTGCAGTTACCTCCTCATTTTTATGTGGTATCCCCTAAGGAATGAATCGAGAGAAATTTTTCATTTTAGCTATTTGGACAACAATTCAGTATTTCCTGGGTCACAGATTCTTGGTAGTTTGGAGAATAAAATTGCCTGACACTCAAGATAGGAAATACCTCTTTCTATCTTGCATCCTGAATTCAGTTGCTGAGATTACTAAAATGATTACTAAATGATTATTAAAATGAAGCCTTTTTAAACTTCTCTCTCTTTTTTTTCTTTTCTTCTTTGCACTTCCTTGTAGTGATAGTCCCAATGCTATCCATGAGGTGGAAAAGTGGTTACCACGGCTGCACTCAGTTGTCATAGGACCTGGCTTAGGTAGAGATGAAGTTCTGCTTGAGAATGCTAAGGTAATGTGCATACTGATATTTTATCCTGTGTCTTTATGCTGAATTGTATTAACCATTCCTATATTTTACATCATTACACAAATGTTCTTGTTATGGTTGATAAATATCAAATTTAATAAAATATTGTTGACTGAAAATTACAGTTTCTATCTGTGGTCTTCATTGTTAAAATGTAACTTTCAGTCTGAATTTTAGGCACCTGTATAGTTGATCTGACTTGCTTTTGTTTAGCTTGTGAAAGTCACTGATTAAGAAATAGGTGTTGGCATATCTAGATAAAAGGCTCTGTGTTTTCTTAGGTGCAAAGCACCAGTACTGTAAGCACATAAATATGGATTTGAGTTCCTAATTTTTGACAGCTTGTATCAGATGCACCAAGGAACAGGGACTGTGTCCTCTTGCAATAAGAAATAATAGTCATAATTATAAAATGCTGCAGATTTCTACTTTAGATAAAGAGATAATCCTATTTTCTGTCGAGCCTTGGTGGAGAGGTGAAACAGGAGATTAGATGTTTTTTTACTTTGAATAATACGTACTTAGACCATCTTCCCAATGATATTTTGTATTGCTTTCAACATATCTTTGTGTGCTCGAAGTGTGTCTTTCAGTCTAATGTCAATCTAATTTTGTACAATTTATTTTTTTTTCCTGAGCAGTATTACTGAATTAATCAGTGGCACTAACAAGTGGAATTAATATAATTTACAGAAATGTTGACAGTTACACAGTGAAATCACGAAACAGAGCAGGCAAGAGACTGGAGATCACACTATCCAAGTATTTAGAATACCTTGAGAGCTATGAATGGTGATGTTGCTAGGATTTTGTTAGAGAAAGATGCTATAGGAATTTCTTGCTCCTTTCATTTTTTTAAAGGAATGCAGAGGTGCAAAACTAATAAAGATTAGAAAATAAAGAAAATAAATATATTACAGCTGATGAAGAAATCAAATTGTATTATGAGTGAAAAATTTAAGCAGATTTTATTTTTTGAAAACATTTTTTTCAGAATTTTTTTACAGAAAAAATATTTGAGACAATTCTTTGTTTTCTTGGCTAAAAAAATATTAGTTTGATGAAGTTTTTTCCTGAAGGAAAACAACTTTAAGGAAAAGAAAATAAGAATTCATTTAGAATATCTAATATAAGCTTCTTTTATGTCAGAATTCTGTCCAGGGTTTATGTGCTTATCTGTACTACCGAAGTATCTGGAAGATTCCTTGATTGTATTTTTTTCCTCATCGCTAAAAATAATATTACTTTCTTAGTGAATTACAAGCATACTTTTATTTCAGTCTGGCCGTCTTGTGTAAGCCAGCTTAGAGTTAAAGAAACAAACCCAGCCAATAAAGACAAGGCATTTGGAAGTTACTGCTTGCTAAAATCTCGGGGCACATTCATATGAGCTGTGGATCTGACCTTATTAATTTCAAGTCACATTAAAGCTCAAGTTCTTTGTCTGCACTGTAGTTGTGTAAGTGTTCATTAGTGCCCAGTGTTGAGGTTTTTAACATGTCACTGGGGACAGGTGAACCCTGGCTGCCTGGCTGAGGAAGAGTGGTGCTGCTCTGTGCTGAGAGAAAGCTGAAAGTCTCCTTCCTGCTTCAACAGTGAATTTTAAGTGTCAAGAAAAAAACCAAGAGATGAAAGCATTGTTATTTTAAACTTTTATACGAGGCTGGCTTGGTATAAAATTTTCTGGATCCCTTTAAGCTAATGTATGAACACAGGGCTGGGAGGTAGGTGAGTGTCTGCATTCTGGTCAGGGTTTTGTGTCAGAGTGGTAGTGATGGTGGCATAGAGCTTCCCCTCTGCCTCCTTCTGTCCCATTAAGGTGCTGAGGCATCATGTTCTGGCATCTCTCTAAAGCTGTTTTTATGTCAGTTCTTGTTAGTATTGTGCCAACACATTTCCAATTAATGTGCTTCTCCAAACAGTCATGTGTTTGGGTTGCTTCTCTCTTCTGAGCATTGAGAAATTAAGAAATTAATTACTAGTGCTGTAACCTTCAATTTGTGGTATATGGCCAAGAGACAGTGTTTTGTTGTGGAATAGCTTGAGTGCTTGTTGACCAGATGGTGCATCATCTCCAGATCAAAGAATGCTTTACTTCCTCAGCATCTTTACTGTGTCACCTGCCTCCCTCATTCTTAACGCCTGCACTACTCACTGTGGCATTTGAGCTCCTTTCAACAGTCTGATTTTAAAAAACCCACGCTGTGATCAGTTTCCTTTGATTTGATTTTTTTTTCCTTGAGCACCTTGATAGTCTTTGAATACATATTTACTGGCTTCCTGCAATTTTGTGGGTTTGGCTGTAATTCCATTTACAAGTCCTGTTACAAGAAGCTGCTCTGCAAGTTATATCCTTCTTTTATAAGCCACTTGTGTGGGTCTGTGCCAGAACCCTCACATGCTGTTACTCAGCTGCTTGGAGCTGATGCTCTGTCAGAGCTTTCTAGCCATGGGTTTGTGAGACCAGGAGCTGCAGCTTCAGAGAATTCTCCTAAAGAAATCATTTGTTGTGTCCTGATAGCTGTACACCTGGATCCCTTGCAGATGTGGCAATTCTAGTCTCAGCCTGGTTAGACCTTCCAATTCCAAAGCAAATAAGCAGTCCAAGCAGCTTCTCTTCAAGAGAAAAGAGCCCAAACACATTTCTGCTCCACTTCTCAGCTCTCGAATGTGCAGATTGAAGCGGTTCTGCTCCCCGTACTACTTCAGACTTATGAAATGCTGTTACCACATCTGATGTGAAAGTTGGCCAAGATGTCAACTTTCGTGTAGGGAACATCAGGCCATCTGTTTTTTTCCTTTCAGTGTCCATGATTGGTTCTGGCCAGAGATACTAGTATGTTATGCTACTGAGTTCAGCTCAGTTGAAGTGCTGCTGCTGGTGGTTTAGCCTGTTGAGAAAGAGTTTAGCTGCTATGTGGAAGCAAGGCCAAGATCCTGATGACTGTCCTCAGCTTAGAAGCAGCATATTTCCAAAGCTGTTGGATATTCTCCATTTTTTCACACAACAGCAGTGTTAAGTCACTATCACATCTACCAATCACAGTTTATTTCATTCAGTTGTTGCATGTATGTTTGCACTTCTGGCTTTGCTCTGATCTGATTTTCGTTCTAGGAGAAGTTTGGAAGTAGGGAAATTTCTGCCTGTCCCATCAAGAGCTGTTTCTTGGGTGTGTGAGAGAACCTACAGGGTGATGAGTACAAGCTTCTGAGAGGACTTTGTTAAAAATACAGTGTTCCTTGCATAGCCTCCTGGGAGAGCAGGAGATGCTGCCTGATGCTCCAGCATGTTCTGCATTCTGCTGCCACCTAGCAGTTAGGCAGTTACAGGCTGAGCCATGTCCTTCGTCACTTTCCATCCTCTTGTCACCTCCTTTCCCCTATTCCTTCTGGCATTGAGGCCAAATGGACTGATACAGGACTGCTGGTGGAATAGCAGTTACTGTAGGGATCTCATAGATAAGCATTCGTCCTGATGAAGAGCCCTCTCCTTAAATGAACTCTTTGATTTTGGAATCTTCCCTTGCTTGTTGCTGGGTTCCTTGTCTCTCTCCTTGAAGTGGCAGCACCAAGTCCTGGACTCTGGTCTTCCAGACTTCCTGTGTCTTGCTTGAAGTCAGAATGCTGTTTTCAGCAGAGCTTGCTTACTTTCCTCCTGTAGGAGAGAGGTAATGATCAATGGCAAGAATAGCTCTGTGTAATTCAGATTACTTGATAAAATTGACTAGATTTTCAAACCATATGCTTGTTCCTCTTGCTTAATTCTCAGTCTTTGTTTTAACTTCCAGAACATGTCAGGAATACCAGCCTGGGTTTTCTTTTGGCTGAGGCCCTGCCTAGCTGCCACTTGTGCCTATTGCTCTTGCTGTTTTTCTTCCTTTGGCCCCCTTGCCCTGCAGTGCTTCCCTCAGCCAGCCATTTGCCCTTAAAGATCTCTGCTATCTCTTGGAATATAAATTTCAGAATCTCATTTTCCACCCCTTGTGACATCCTCTTAAGGTTATGTTAAAATGTCTTGTCTGTTGTTAACATCTATGTGGTGAGGGAGGTTTGGGCCCTTGTCACTGATCATCTCCATCAGGTGTGCCCAGAGAGAACCCATTTGAAATTTTCAGATGGGTTGAATCTCAATTCTGCCTTGACTGAGGCCATCAGCCTTTCTGTGTTTGATTAGTCAGATTATTTTCTTGCTTTCAAGCCTCGTGCATTCAGGATTTAGGCAATGCTTCACAGCCCTAGTAAGTTGTGAGAATGGAACCAGGTGCTTCACTACACTATCTGCACTCATTTTTTGCAAGATCAAAAGCACTGCAGAATACAGAGCCGCCTGTTGTTACCATATAAGTCTGTTAGAGTTGAATCTGTCACTGTGGGCCTTGAAAAGGATTTTCCTCTTGGTATCTAAGTAGCCCTCTCAGTTCTATTTGTACACAGGTGTAAGACAACTGAGAAGCATCCCAGGTGAATGTTGCAGGTGACAGATTAGTATTGCCTGTGGTACCTGCCACCATGTACAAATATGAACCAACAGAATGCATTATTGTTCAGAGTCACTGCTCATGGCAACTCAAATCAGCAGAAGAATTATTTTCCAGAAAGTTCATTCTTTAGTGGGTCATGTGCATTTGCTTCCTCCCTCTTTATACCCCTTGGAGGCTCTTGCTGTGGGGATTCAGCAGTTCATAAGGAACTGAAGAAGCATCAAGTATGTGCCTCTTCTCAGCCCTCAGCTAGGAGGAGGTTAGGTAGCTGAAATCTTGTGTTTGGGGTACTGCAAGGGCAAAAATCCAGTGAGATGTACATGCCCTCTCTGTGAGAACGTGTGCTGTCAGCCTTCACCCAAAGCCCAGCATTGATGCACATACCACAAACAGAATCCAGTGAAAAACTGATCTCCAGCTAGCCAAGCTTCATTGCTTTCAAAAGGCCTGAGGAGACTCGGGATTTGTGGATGTTGTCCCCTGAGGTGGGGCAGCTGCTGG